AAATAAACTCTTAAAAAAAAAAAAAAAGAAAAGGATTTCCCTCAACCTTTTCAGTATCAGACATCTATGGTCTTTCCTGACTCCGATGTCAGGGTTATGGTCCTCCATGGCCCATTGCCCCACCACACAATGCACACTGGCTTTATTCCTTTCCCTCATGGTGGCTATGAGCTTTGGCTCTGGAGTTAGGCCATCTCAGTAATCAGTTGTGACCATGGGCAAATTACCTACCAGATCTGTGACTCAATTTCCCATGTTTAAAAATAGAGATAATTATGATACCTGCTTTCAGGGGATCGTGGTCAGGATTAAATAGGGTAATATACATTAAAAGTTCATAGCACAGGAACTGGCATTTAGTAAGAGCTCAAGTACCTTTTTTTTTTTAATTTTTATTTTTTAAGATTTTATTTTTAAGGAATCTTTATACCTAGTGGGGCCTGAACCCACAACCTTGAGATCAAGAATCATATACTCCACCCACTGAGCCAGCCAGGCACTCCGCTAAACACTATTAAAAAAAAAAAAAAAAATCTTGTTAGTGGGAAAGAGTGGTTTAATAGCTAGACCTGCATTCAGTATTGTTTTGCAGCAAGTATACCAAGTCCATTCATAAATATACATGTGCTAAAAACAAAATGGTCTGACATACTATGAATATATTTTTTTTAGGCTCTTCAGCTGGCCTGGTGCCTCCAGACCTAGATTCTGGGTATGTACCTACATATGTAAATGGCATAAAGTGACCTAAACAGCCAGGAACTCTGTGGGTACCTCTACCATGGCTGGGGAAAACTCTGGTCCATAGAGGAAAGGTGTGCATGTGGGAGAGTTAATAGGAGCATGGTCTGTGCTGACCAGATCCTGTAGTAGCTGAGCCAACCTCAGGCTGCCCCCCAAGTCTTACTGCAATTGTACCAGGAATGTTACCTTTTGCTCCCAATCAGCTGAGCTGATTGCTCAGCTCCCCTTTATACTGGGGCACTTTTCTGGGAACACACCACTAACTGCTTTATCTGTAAAAACAAATAAGGACCTCTGCCCAGGGTCTAAAGGAAAGCATCCCTTTAGGACATAGAAATAATAGAGAAGAATGCTTAAAAGCGGAGTTCAGGATTCAGATAAGCTCTAGGTTTGAATCTTGCCTTCAATACTTTTTAGCTGTGTGAACTTCAACAGGTTGCTTATCCTTCTGAGCCTCTATTTCCTTACCTGGAAAAAGGGTAATAAGTGCCCCCCAAGAAGGGTATTGTGAGACATAAATGGGATACTGATGTTGGGTAATTGCACAAGTTTCTGGCATATAAATAAGTGCTTAATAATGATAGCTTTGGGGCACCTGGCTGGTTTAGTCCATGGAGCATGCAACTCTTGATCTCAAGGTTGTAGGTTCGAGCTCCACGCTGGGTGGAGAGATTGTTTAAAAAATAAAATCTTAAAAAAGATAATGATAGCTGCTCCATGGGGCACCGGGGTGGCGCAGTCCATTAAGCATCTGCCTTTGGCTCGGGTCATGATCCCACAGTCCTGGGATTGAGTCACCCTCTCCCCCGACCCGCGTCAGGCTCCCTGCTCAGCTGGGAGCCTGCTTCCTCCTTTCCCTCTGCCCCTCTTCCCTGTTCGTGCTTTCTCTCTCAAATAAATAAATAAAATATTTTTAAAAAAATGTTTGCTTCTCCATCACACTCTCTTTAGATTTTGCAGGGACCACACATTCATGGTAAAATCTAAGTTCATCTGTTGCCAACAGATTTCCTTAGCCAAGTACATGAAGAGCAATAGTCTCGTTAGATTAGGGCAAAGGTAGATGTTAAAAAATTAAAATGGCCAGGAGTGTCTGGCCAGCTCTCAGTGGAGCATGCAACTCTTGATCTCAGGATTGTGAGTTCGAGCCCCACACTGAGTGTGGAGCTTACTTAAAAAAAAACAAAATTAAAATGGCCCAAACTAATTGATTTTTCGGCTTGATGAAATTATTTCTTTCTCAAAGATTTTTCAAGCCAGGTTCCCAACAGTCCTTCAGATAAACACTTCTTATAACATATTCAGGTTTTTTTTCAAGAGCCAACTAAATACAACAATCATTTGAGTTATTGTTCCATGTCAGACTAAGTACCAAAGATTCAAAGATGTAGAAGATACATTTTTTTTTTCCTCAAGGAAATAACTGTTTAGTTGTTACTCTTTTTACCTGTGAAATCTCCCAGAATCACCTTCTCTATTCTACCTTTTCCCATATCCTTTAAGATATTTCTTAATCTAGTGCTGGGTGAGAACTTCTCACTCTTTGTGTTTCCCACCATTCATCTAACTTTGTCCTCATTCAACTCCTACATAACTCAACTATATCATTAGTTTTTAATTTTTTTTTGTTTAATGTATACGAATCTCATCTCCCCAATCATATTATAAGTAACTCTAGGGCATGGGTTTCTATTAGTTCATTCTATATTTCTATAACACCTGCCATTCTGTTATTCCTTATTTATTTATTTTATTTTATTTTATTATCCCCCCCCACTCACTCCCCCTGTTATTCCTTATTTAGATCATCAAGGATGACTGTCAATGAAATTTTATGAGCTTGTACAAAACACATAGTTTAACTTATCCCTCTAAGTCAATTGGGTATGAGATAGATGGATTTGGGGCAAGTGAGCTACTTTCCCATACAGCATCACCTGATCCACTTAGGAAATTTCCTTTCTCTTTTTGCCTTTTAATTTTCTCTCTTCCACAGTGTTGGAAGATCACTGAATTCTGCATGGAAAATGCTATCTCTATTTTTGCCTTTGGTCTTGAAAAGGTTTGAATCACTATCATTCTTGAAAAGGCTTAAATCACTTTCATAGAAACCCCTCTAGAAGAGGACAGGGCAGCTGCTTAGCACATTTGAAATTCAACAGCCACGCAGGAGGAGAAGCAGAAAGGATTTTGCCCCCATATCATCCTAAAGGGGAAAACTGTATCTTACCCTAGCTTAAATGGAGTTGGAATAGTGCCTATTAACTCTACAAAGATTCTCACACTTTGGAAAAACATCCTGATTTCTCTGAAATCACCTATATGGGATCTTTCTTCACCACAGAGTTATTATTCTTATCACTGTAATGTCAATGGGAATATTGGAACCATTCTCACACTGAAGCGCGGTCCACAAGGTTATGGACAAATCAGTAGTAACATTCACCTATCTGAGATTTTTTCAACATTTATTACACTATTGAAGGGAGAGACAAGAACAACCTCAGTATATAGGAAAATATCCTCTACCCTTGAATGCCTGCACATACACAGGATGGGTGACCAAGGCCGAGGCAGGAAGGAGGTTTGATTGTGCTTGTGTGCATGTGGGTGTGCACATTTGTGTATGAATCAGAACCTTCCCAAAGGGAGGAAAATGCTTAATCCTATCTTTCACCTATCCAAACTGGTGAAAGAGGTAACAGACTCTGGGCTATTTATAGACCTTAAATTGGCATGTGCTGTACATATTGAATACTTTGCTGATCTCATTTTTTTAGAGCAGTTGAGATAAAGGAAAAGCAAAGAAAAGGTAATAAGATTCAGATCATGACTGTAACTTTAAAAATAACATTACCTTTCTTATAATTGTAGATGCCTGGAAAATTTCCCAGAGTCAGAGAATTAGATAAAACAGGATTCCATTTTGAAAACAGAGTGGAGATAACCTGATCACTGAAGTCTGGGTGTAGAGGTGAAGAGGATTATCTGAATACTGTACTGATTTTATTTGATTTCAAGGGTGCTCTCCAGTGTCACTATCGCTTAGGTGCCAAAATGCCTCTGTGCTGCTGCATATAACATGGGGTCATCCAGAGACACTGACTTGAGGGCAGCAGGACACAATAAGCCCTCAAAAGGAACTTTGGAGAGATGACACAAACATAGCTGTCCTGATCATCCCACATCCCTTTCTCTGGGAAGAGGGTAAAGCCCTCTACCAAAAACAGCAGAAGAAACGCTCACCCTCTGAAGTAAGGACAGTAATGAGCCATTGCCCATCCATCTCCAGGGCCTCTCTGGAAAGAGGAAGGTGTGTTGTTTAGAGATAGAACCATATTTGGGACCCTCTGCCCAGCAGACTGCTGTTAGGGGGTTGGAGTGTCCTGCACTGGCTCTCTTAGGTACACTTGGGCCCACGAGCTTCAAAGTCTTCTGGCTTGGACACATTTTACCCATCAATTTCTCCTTGACTCCACATTCTAGTCATTCTAGTTACTCCTATTTCCCTTTGAAAACCTCAAAAGGTCTTCCATAAATGTTAAGAGATGGGCGGACTTGCTAGGCAACCAGAGAAACTGCAAATTCTATGTTTAGGGAGAGGCATGATCCATCTCATTTCTCCTTTTCTTCCATGATTTATTTCCTCATCAGTGAAATGGGAATAACAGCGCTGTCGCATTTACTTTACAAAGCAAGACTGCTGCATAAGATGAAAAAGCTACAGAAGGGCAAGGCATTATCACTGCTGTCATAGCTATTTTTGATATTACACATCCCCAAGGCCCACAATTTCTCAGGACTTAAAACAACACAATATCTACTAAACTAAGTAGGTCTCAAAAGCCTGTCCCCAGCCTGTTAAAGAGATGGCTGCATGAAAGCTTGTTAGAAATTCAGGTTCTCTAGCCCCACCGTAAGCCAACGGGATCAGAGCCTTCAAGTGTGAAGCCAAGAGACCTATATTTTCAACAAGCTTCCAGGCAATGCTGACCATCAGCCAGGTGTGTGAACCCTATTTGCTCCATTCCAAGTTTGTCCTTCAAATACTGGTTTGAAGGAAGAGATGGATGACATACGCAGCTTCCTAGACCCCTCAGATTTGACCAGTGGGGGATGGGTTACAGCACAGGTGAATGACAATTCTTTTCTTGGGGAGCAGGAAGCAAAAACAGCACTTTCAAGGAGCTAAGCTTCCACAAGAGGACCACCAGAGAAGGGAAGGAGGGGTGGGTGGGAAAAGTAATTGGACTCACCTACAATGATACCACAAGCACTGACCAATCCAATCTCTTTCTTCAGGGCTACTCCGCCTCCTCCAGAACCAGACTCAGGGCTGGCCTCCGACTCGCTTCCACCTGGGTGGTTCTTTTCAGTGTTGTTTCGGTGCCTGGCTCCTTTTTCCATCTTTCTCGTAGGATTTCCACCTCCGAAAGGTATCTCTCTTTCTGAATAAGTGTGGGTGTAAATATATTTTAAGAGACTGTCTTTCAAATTGAAACGTCTTTTTCTGAAACAAGGACCACTCCTACCCCTCTTAAAAAAGACTCAGGCAGATAAAGAGAAAACTGAAAATATTCCTATTCCGTATTGACACTTTCTTGTCACTCGTGCTTAGAACAAGGAAAGGACTGTTAAAGGGGGGGGAGAAGAGACATAGATATTTAAATATAAAAATAGAACTGTACCAGCTACTCCGGCTGGAATTTTCCTGAAGGGGATGTAGATCTTCAGAGACCAGGATGGTTCTGCAATGTGTACCAGGCAGCGGCTTATTTTAGACTCTTCAAAGATAGTCTGGGTTTCACTCAGCTCTGCCCCTAAGAAAACAAAGATTGTCTTTACCTCCCCTTAGCCTTTTCTTTTTGATGAAGATAAGAGTTTTCATTAACTGAAGGGAAAACAGGCAATCCTCCGGTACTTTCTTCTCTTCCAGAAAAACAACTGTGGACCAGACCGGTTTGCTCTAGATCTTGTTTCCACCTGCTGTGGGTTTGTTTTCCCCTCCCTGTCTTCTGCCTTCCGCTTTTTCCAGATGTCCTCTTCTGTCTCGTTTGTTTTTCTGTCCTTGTTTTCTTTCTTCTGAGCTCCGTCAGTCCTCACAGCACAGACTGCCCCATCTCTCTAGGTTATGGGAGAGTGACTCTGGCACACACGATTGTGCTTCCCTTTTAGCATGGGGTTTTATGTGCTGAGCTAGCTCCGCCCCCACCTCCTCGGTCTCTCCATCCTCAGTCCGTCTCCTCCCTCCTCTTCAATTTAAATATTAGCACACAGCCCCCAAAGATCAGCGAGAAAATGGATTAAAATATTCTGCCTTGTAACCGTCTCTCATTCTCCATCTTTCTCCTTGTGAGAAGTGGAAGTAAAATCCTTCCATGTCAACTGTTCTGGGAGAGTTCGTTAGCTGGTATAGCATTACAGGTCATACAGCATTTGCGAGCTTTATAAATAAGGGACCGGTTGTGCAGACACTTTAATGCCATCAGAAATACACTGGCAACTGTGCTAAAATATTTATGTCTGGATCATTTGAGGATACAGGAGAGAAGGTTGTAAGGACCTTGTTTTCAAGTTTCTGAAAGTAGGAAATGCACGGCTGGGGGAGGGGAATGCAAAGAATTAAGAATAATGGGAAAGAGGTTCATTTAGTGTAATTGTGAGCTGTGAAGGGCATAAGTGAAACAGAACCACCAAAAGAGGTGGCAGACTTACTGTTCACATCTCTTATTTAGTGTAAGCTAAGACAGGACAAAAATGACTCCCATCTTAGACCCAGGAAAGAACCACACAAAATCTGATAGAATGGAACCTTTCATAGCTTCTAATACTTTTTGCATCGATAAATTATTTGAGAGATAGCCCAGGCAAGGAGTGGGGAGCTTTTAGCACCTTTCTGATCATAAAGCAGATTGTTGATGTTAAGAGATGGCCAACTAGGGGCACCTGGGTGGCTCAGCCGTTAAGCGTCTACCTGTGGCTCAGGTCATGATCCCAGGGTCCTAGGATCAAGTGACATGGGGCTCCCTGCTCAGCGGGAAGCCTGCTTCTCCCTCTCCTGCTCCCCCTGCTTGTGTTCCCTCTCTCTCTGTCAAATAAAGAAATAAAATCTTATTAAAAAAAAAAAGAGATGGCCAACTTATTACCATATTGATATTGTGTCTTGGATTCCCTGAAGAATTTCACCCAGGAACTGCTGCCTTATGGCAACAGCAATAATATTGTATTTGTAAAGTACATTGAAAAACAGCAAGAAGCAATATAGCAGGCCATACTATAAATCTAAAATAAAATTGTTTTGGATCTGTATTAAATAAATAGTGCAAAAGCACTTGATTTTAAAGTGGGTCTAAAAAATAAAGCTAACAAGTAAGTACAGAAATTTGGCCTCACTTTTTGGAAAATGTTCCAAAGACTTTAGATTTTAAGGAAAATACTTAATTGCTTAAAAGAGGGATAGCTGAGCTATTGTAGCAAAGACTTTCCAAATAAGATAAAGTCCAGTCCACAGTATTTCCACTTTGCCCCTTAACCACTCAGCAAGTATTAAGAAGTTTCAAAGGTTGGGAGTTCAACTTTTTCTTCAAGATACAGCAAATTGAAAGCCTCAGCAAAATAAATAAACAAATAAATAAATAAATAGGATTTTTAATTAAGACAGCAGAAAAGTGAGGAAATATATAGCACAAAACTCCACAGGAGGGGATGAGTCATGGCAATTTTGAGTTGCCTCTGGCCTTTCCTGAAGGACAAAGCATTGAGGAAAAATTTGATGTATTCATTTTTAAACAATGTGATTTGAAGATTTCTGCCCAAATTTCAACATTAAAGTATAAAAAATAATCTTTCTCCTCAAATATGAGTTGTTTCAGTACAATATATATTTCTAATTTAACTGATATAGATTTAATATGAGGTAAAACATGAATGTGCAAACTGACCACAGAATGGCAGGCTTTAGTCAACTGAATTTATGATTAAAGAAGTTAAGGAGGGTTATAGGATCAAACACATTCTACGCAACCACTAAAATACTTAGTACTAGAGACTCTTCCCCTCTTTTAACAGGACCATTTATTCATATTACATGGCTCGCTTCAAGTTGGAACCTTTTTGTGAAATAAACTCTAGGGAGGGGCGCCTGGGTGGCTCAGTGGGTTGAAGCCTCTGCCTTCGGCTCAGGTCATGATCCCAGGGTCCTGGGATCAAGCCCCACATCTGGCTCTCTGCTCAGCAGGGAGCCTGCTTCCCTTCCTCTCTCTCTGCCTGCCTCTCTGCCTACTTGTGATCTCTATCAAATAAATAAATTAATTAATTAAAAAAAACAACCCTAGGGATGTCAAAATTCTATATGACTAACACTGAACACAAGAGAGTACAAAAGTCTTGATGTAATATGCTGGAAAAAATCTATAGTAATGATTAACTGAAGTTTCTTATTGAAATTTTGAACACTGAATTATTTTTTACTCATTATTCTACATTTAACTTTATATCTTTTATTCTACTTTCTACACTTAAATAGTGCTGCTTCACAATCTACAAACTGTTTTATGCCCAATAGCTCAGGGTTTTATTATTTTTTTTCTTCTTTATTAAATACTTCAGGTAGACAAGGCAGTTACTTTGCTTATTATGAAGATTAAGAAGCTGAGCCCTGGAGAAATGTCTTACCTGAGGTCAAAGACAAGACAATCTGTTTCTGGGGAAGTGGATGCCAATAGTTTACACATGGAGAATTTTCCTGGGAAAATTCTACATAGCTACTTGCTGATGCTAAACTTTTTTCACATAAGGGAAACAGAAAGTCTTTGGTCAGGGCCATGTCCACATCTTCTTGAGTTGGTCTCATAACTGTGCCTTTTAGGGGCACCTGGGTGGCTCAGTGGGTTAAAGCCTCTGCCTTCAGCTCAGGTCATGATCCCAGGGTCTTGGGATCAAGCTCCACTTTGGGCTCTCTGCTCAGCAGGGAGCTTGCTTCCCCCTCTCTCTGCCTGCCTCTCTGCCTACTTGTGATCTCTGTCTGTCCAATAAATAAACAAAATCTTTTTTTTTTTAAACTGTGCCTTTCAAAGATTTTATTTATTTATTTGTCAGAGAGAGAGAAAGCACAAGCAGGCAGAGGCAGAGACAGAAGCAGGCTCCCCACTGAGCAAGGATCCTAATGCAGGACTCAATCCCAGGACCCTAGGATCCTGACCTGAGCTGTAGGCAGCAGCTTAACCGACTGAGCCACCCAGGTGTCCCATAACAGTGCCTTTTAGAGAGCCATCTTGATGCCAACACTTAATATCTGTTCAGTGAGACCCACAGGACTCAGTCTGCCCTCCCCTCCAAAATTTGTCACTCCCTTCACATAGTCCTCAGTTTGGCCATTTTCCAACTGCATTAGTACAGCTCTATTTCCAGTATCTGGGTGACTGTTTATTGTTGATTTGCACACTTACGGTGGGAAGAAAGTGGTCATTTCAACAAAGGAAAGGGTGGTTTTGTAAAAGGGTCGTTTTCTTATGAATATGGACTTACCAAGAGAAAGGCTGTATGAGGCTGACACCTACTGCACAAAGAAAGATATGGCACAGGAACACGCTACTTGTATATATTGAACAAAAACAGTCATGCTGTTATATATAGTCCCTTTTTGAAACAACAGCTAAGAAGTATCTGTTAATAAAGAGGAATAGAGCACAAAGTTCATTTACTCATTCTTTTTTTTTCCCCCTTTGGGACCCAATTGTTCTAACAGAGCTGTGAAGTCTGAGATCACAAAGAGAAGACCCAAATCTCTTCCTGGAGGAAACTCACAGTCCATGCTCCCACTCCATTCTTCTGCTTGCACCAACATGACCAGAGTCAGAGGAAACCCTGGTTTCAATTAAAGCCAGCTTTCTTCCTAAAGTCATAGTGACCACTGGCCTATGGTCAAACAGTCAAACAGTGGTTTCCTGAGTTAGTGGATCTGGGACCCTTTATTTCATTCAAAATGGAAAGTAGATGAAAATTAGTGAGCAAAGAGCAAAGAAATAAAAAAGTAAAAGCCAAAACAAGTCAGAAAGAAAAGAAGATGAAACGAGGAGATGTAGTTAGATGATAAGCCCTTTTTGGTGTATGCTCTGTTTGGATTTTGGACATATTCATAAGTTCAAAGGAAGTTATATCTTCTAGGGTTTATGCAGTCCTGATAATTTGGATGGAGAAGATCCTGTTTTGTTATGATGGTCAATTAATTCATGCTCTTCTGGAGATAATGATGAATCCTTGCTCTGACACTAGAGACAAAAATTCCAGCAGATTACTCTTCTGTCTGCTGCACTTGGCTGGATTCCAGGGAGCTAGCCCAGCGCTAGTGGGAAAGAAATAAAGGTCCCTGGGACAGCTGCATGTCCTTAATTCCTTTGCCGGGGCAAATCTGTCTCAGGACCTTGGTATTCTTTCTAAGCATTTAGGTGATTCAAATGCTGAGTACTTAAGTGTGGAAACTTCCAGTTCCTAATTGGTTTTCACTGAGGATTTATGTTTACCAAAGATAAACACTCTTATCTTTTAGGATATGGAAAATAAGTTCCCTGAAATTAAAGATTTATTTTGTTCATTGCTGTAACCCCAGTACCAAAAATGGTGCCGGAACTCAGTAAATATGATTGACTGACTGAATAAATGAATGGTAATGCACATTAATGCATAATAATTAAACAATATTTGATGGACTGATGTGTGGATTTATTATAGTAAGATGTAGTCCTCAGTGCTTAGAGAGAAGCTGGACTGGAGATGGAGGAGAAAAACACAATCAAATGTTTGACTTTGAAGATCGTTTCATATGGAACACAGATCTCAACCAGGCCCCCTAACAATGCCTGGCATTCTTACCACTGTCCTGCAGTCAACGGAGACTTTCACTCTCTTCTCTGCAAGTACCATCCCCTAAATCTTCACTTCCAGTTGATGTCCTTGCTTATTGCTTCATGGAGAAAACAGAAAGGCAAAGAGAACTTCCATATCCTCCAACCACTAACTTGGTCATTTGGTCTGCCTGAAGCGCACCCACATATTCTGTCTTCTTTCCCATAGAAATGGATGTGCTGTGCCTGTTCTATGTATCTTCCTGACTTCTGCATCAGCTTCCCAGACTAACACCTACTCAGGGACTTTGCTCCTATAATTATTCCCCT